CCCCCCCCAAGCCAGCACCCACTGCAGAGCCTGGGCTGCCCACCGTCCCCCCCCAGGCTGTTCCTACCCCTTAAGATCACACCACCACATAAACAAACCCATTTTTATTAAAAACAAAACAAACTGGGCACAGAAAACAAATGGAGGGAAAAACAAACAGACAAAAAATACGACACAGCCACAGAAAGTATGAACTTCTGCACTAGTGTTACCCATCAGAGCAAATAACAATGGAAGGTTTACAGGGGTATCCCCCAAAAGCAGATGCAATTTTTCAACAAAGAAGGCACTTTGCTTCCATTGAAGGAATTACAATGTCTAAGATGGACCAGCAACCAAAACTTTTCTCCATCCTGGAAGTCCCAAGAGTTATTTTCAAGAGGGGTTAGAAACCTCAATTTGATCCCATGAAAGCAAAGTACAAAAATCCCTGTGTTTTAAGATCTTAAACGATCTTTAATAATCTGCAACCCATCAATGGGCAGATCTTGAATAATAAACCTTTGCTGTTGCCATCAGTAGGAACCACAAAGTTTGTGGTCAGCACAGCTCACCTGTCATCCAAGTGATTAACACACCCAGCAAGAATCTAAACATTGAAGTTTTTATCTCTAAATGCCAACGGAACCCCCAGAGCACAGCCTGAGCCTTGGTCACAGTCTCCTCTCAGCTGCTGGGGTATTAACCACGAAACCTGGAGAGTACAGAGACACTAAAGTAACACAGTATCTGGTCTTTACAGTGCCAAGAGGCTGTATTTCTAACAAATCTTGCAATCTGTAGCAAAAAGCTAAAACCAAAAGCACCTGCCTTTTCTCCTGTGGAGTCAGCTCCACATCTGCAAGGTGAAATCTGGGTTTGTACAGCAGGAGGCAAAGGAAGGGGAGGAGGTGCAGCAGGGCATTTACAAAAGCTGAGCAGCTTCACCTGTAAGAATCCACATCCCTCCACAAGAGCCTGAAAATACATTCCCCTGACAACAAACACAAATTCATATAGACCTTTTTTCTTTCCTTCAAACTAGACTGAGACCTGTTCAAACAGCAGGGGAGTTGCCCACGTAGCACTCCAATCTGCTCTTTTAAAACAAGAGTTTAAAAAAAACAGCCTCTCTGAAAGTTTGGTTGGTTATTCCTTGAGCAACAACCGGAGAGTAATTCTCAGGTGAGCAGATGTTTTGCAGAAATGACACAACCCCTTGAAGCAAGGGCTGCTTCCAAACCATCAGCCCAGCTCAGAGCGCTCGCCAGTCAATGGGCTTCTTGCCAGATTTCTTGAGCAACTCGTTTGTCTTGGAGAAATGTCGGCAGCCAAAAAACCCCCTGTTGGCTGAGAGAGGGGAGGGATGAACCGTCTGCAGGACGTGGTGACGCTTCTGTAGAGCAGGAGAGGAAACAGCTCGTTAGATTTGCATCTCTCAGCTCCCTGCACAAGGCTGGCTGCTTCTGCCCCACCGAGGCAGGTGGGATTTCCTCTCTGCTCCTCCTCACCCCCCAGCCTGAGGACCCGAAGGACTGGCCATGAGGAGACTTCTGTCCCACTGAGCAGAGGAGGGTGGACTACACAGAGCAGCAGTAATACCCTGGCCATGGTTCAACTGCTGTAATCCTAACAGCAGATTTTATTCATGAGCCTTTTCCTAGTAAAGAACAGTTCTGTCCTCAACATGAGGCTTGTCCAACAACAGAAGGTTACACTTGCTCCCATTTTGTTGCTTAATTCTGGCAAAGGCTAAGCTGGAACAGCAGGGCAACTAAAATTGCCAGCAGAGAGAAAACCCCAACTCTGCAAGGGAAGTGTCCTCCCGGGTCCACCCAACTGAAAGAGAAAACAGTGAGAGGGAAGAACTCAGGAACCCATACCCTGTCAATGGAGCTGCCTTTCTTCTGGGCATAGGCCCCCCACAGCATGAAGACAACCCCATGTAAATTCTTGTTGAGCCAGGACACCACAGCATCCGTGAACTGCTCCCAGCCCCTCTCCTTGTGGGACGTGGCCTGGTGAGCCCGCACCGTGAGGACAGCGTTCAGCAGCAGCACACCTGGCAGAGACAGCACACACACTGAGGGTGGCACCCAAATCAAGCTTCCTCCTGCTTCCCCTGAGAGATAACAACATTCTAAGGCACCCAACAGGCACTCAGAATTGATTTTCTCTTTCGCAGATGAAGTGTTTCCAACCAGGGGTCTGCAATCTAAACAGGACACGTTCCTACAGGGTCTGTTAACTCACCTTGCTTGGCCCAGCCAGTCAAATCACCATGGCCAGGATGAGTGAAGCCCTCAATGTCTGTAGATAACTCTTTGTAAATATTTTCTAAGCTGCAAACAAAAAACATCAGAAGTTTGTGGGGGTTTTTTTAATAGGCACATTTAAAGATAAGAGCAAACAGCACCACTTACTGCCCTTATATTAGGCAAAAAGGGTCTTGATTTTAACCTTATAATTCAAAATAAAAAGGCCATTTGTAGAAGCAGGGCAGTAAGGATGCTCCTTGGTGTGCCTGGCTGGAAACTTAATGAGCAGGTCATTACTGAAAATGCCAATTTATAACCAGCATTATTATTAAAATTATTAAAATGCCAATTTATAACTTCAGAATACCACTAAACTACACAATTTGCAGTGATGTTTGCTCTAGGCAATGCACAATCCCTACCCACCTGCCTCACAGCCATGAGAGACCCAGGACAGAAATAGTTTGTAAACAAAAAGGATTTTTGCAAACGGAGTGCTGCCTTACCTGGGGGGAGGTGGAACAGGCTTCTGGACACTGAAACAGAGCCCATGAGCTTGATTAGGTCCATGATACGGATCTTGTCCCAAAATGACAGCCTTTACCTGAAAGCAGACCTTGGTTAGCTCTGAATTATAAGCCATATTATTAACTAAAGAGTGAAGGGGGGTGGAAAAAAAGCACATCAATGACCCCAAAACAAACACACAAAAAGACATAAAAAACCTGCAGGGAACTGAAGGTAAATTACAGGCCTCTGGCTATAAACAAGTTGAAGAACATCATTCCAAGGACCAACATCACCACAGCTTTGCTGCTCAGATTATGAAGATACTTGGGAGTGGAGAAAACCAGCATCTTGAAAGAGCCAAACCAAAACATCCAATGAAGGTGCTCCTCAAGCAAATTTCCTCCCATTTTAGTTTTACTGCAAACTTCTGTGATATTTTTGACACAGCTTCATGGCAACAGCACTAAGACACTGCCAGTTTTTATTACAGCTCATGACAGATTGATGAAATAAGTAAGAGATGTACAAAAGCCAAAAATAAAGCCTTACCAATAGTGGGTAACACTAAAAACAAAGGTGAAAAATCCAACTGCAAGAAAACTCTGCAGCCAGGGAGGGTGATAAAGCAATAAAATCACATTTCAGTATCAGAGATGAAAGAGCAGCCGGGATTTACAAGGTGTATGAGAAAAACGACAGCAGCCACCTCACAGGGGCTTGACCAAACCCCTAACGGCCGTGTTTGTGCACCCAGCCCCGGGTTCCCAGCCCTGCCAAGGCCCCAGCGTTGCCCACCCCCCC